TTTTTTAGATTTTCTTATTTCTTCATTTTGTGATAAAAAAAAATACCTAAAGCGCGGACATTTAGAACAGCTCCTACCGCATTTTTATCTGTTTTGAAATAAGGATAAAATTGATATATTATTAGTATTTAATATTTATTAAAATAAAAAGTAAAAAAAATAAAATAAAATTAAAACATCTCTATTTAAAAAGTGCAACAATTAAATATTGAATGTGTGGGTATATGGGGAATGAGTTGTTAGTTGATAAATATCCTAGACTATTTTTGCTTTCAACAAGAAAATACAACACAATCTCACAAATGGGCAACTGGAACAATAGTGAATGGAGTTGGACACTGCAGTGGCGTCGTAGACTATTCTCATGGGAAGAAAATCAATTGTTAGAATTGAAGAATGCAATTGAGAGTGTAAGTTACACTAAGGAAAGAAGGATCTGTGGAACTGGATTCATGATAAAAAAGAAAACTACAAAGCTAAATCATGATATTTAATTAATGCTAACGGAAGGCCAACGACTTGACTATGGATGGCCCTACAAAAAAAACTTTAGATTTCTAGACTTTCAGCAAAGGTTAGTGGTTTTATGGGGTAGCTACTGTAAGACAGGATTGCAACTAAAAACAATCTATTTTAAAGAGATACTTTGATTGATACTGAACAATTAAAATACGTACTGTCTTTGTAACAGAAAAGAGGAGGATGCTGAGCACTTGTTTTTACATTGTAATTTTTGTAATTTTACTTCAAAAGTGTAGAATATGTGTTTGCAATATGGTGGGGAATAGTCTCAATCACAGCTGGGGGATTCTCGGGGCATTTTAATAGCAGTTCTCTTTATTGAAAGATAAGAAGGTCACAGAGGGTTAGACAATTGTATGGGAACGGGAGGCTCTTAGAGGATAAAGAGACAAATGAAGTCAAAGTTTTGGAACTGGCAGAACTAAGAGTATTTTATTGGATCATACGGAAATCGAAGGTATCAGTGTTTGGGTTCAAAGATTGGATATTGAAACCCATTGCATGTTTGAAAATGTGAATCGGAAGCATTGTAAATGTAGCAGCTGAAGTTTTATGCCGAGGCATTATTAATACCTTTGTTGTACTCCCAAATAATAAGACTCATTTTTGCTATAAAAAAAAACTAAATATTGGATGTGATGACCCAATTTCATATTGCATTTGTTGTCTATATGGTCATAGATATAGTATATTTTCTCTTTTTTTTTAAAGGAAATTATATATAATATTAAAAAAGTATTTTATAAGGTGAACTGTATATTAAAATTGCAATTTACTTTATAAATTTATTAAAATATCCTTAATAAAATAACATAAAAAATAATTTTATTAACAATATTTTAATAAATTCTTGGGGTAAATTACACTTTTAATGTTTAGTCTCTCTTATAAAACATGAATCCTATATAATATTTTTTAATACTAATAGAATAACAAAATTGTTATAAATTTTATTATTAACCAACACTTAGTCATACATTATACTTTCTCCATTTATTTTTAGTAAATTAAGTTTGACTTTTTAATTTTTGGGACATGAATTTTGAATGAAAATTGAATAAATATATGAACAAAAATTAAATTTTTTTTCTTATATATAGTTCTTGTTAGGTATTTTTATTTGATAATTTTTTTAATTATTATTCATATATATATTATTAAATTTTTATCTAAAATTTAAATTTTAAAAATTAAAAAATTAAATTAAATCTAGTAAAAATGAAATGAGGGAGTAAACTTTATACATTGACTTGGGCAGTGTTGGCAAATTAATGGAATAGGCACATGATACAAATGATATTAAATAATATATACATATGATATAATATATTGTTATTACCAAGTAAAAGATTGATTTATGGGTATGGAGTACAGGTAATTAAAGTTAAAAGAAGGAGATTTAGAAACAAAATTTTAGAGCAGAAGAAACCGATTCAAACGGCTTGAGCGGATTGTTTTTAAAATAGAAAATAATTGATACACTTAGCTCAACATATCTTTTTTTAATGTTTGTTATGATTTAATTATTAAAATATAATATAAATATAAATAATTTAATCAATTTTTATATTTTGTATGTAAGATTGTATTTTTAAGTTTGTTTATCAATTTTTTGGTTTTTAAGTTTGTTTATCATTAATTTTAAACCAAAAAATAATAACTCTCTAATAAATGTATTATATAATATATTTAACCAAAATGTGGACAAGTCACTATCCTTTTGAAAGTTACCAATGACTTGTTGATTCGAATGAATGATTTGCTAGTTCGAATAAAAAGATTTTGATTTTTCTTAAATAAAGTCTCGAATTTGAGTCTTATAAATGAAAAAATAAGTGCTAAGAAAACTTTTTCTTATAAGATCTGACATGGATGCAATTTTAGATTAATAAAAATTTAATGTAATTACTAGATACTGAGAGGTTAATACAAAAAAAAAAAACCTACCCTTTTAAAAGTTAAAATTTCTTGACTGAAACTAGAAGGCATGAGTTGCAATTTCTTAAAAAAAAAAAAAAAAAAACTACCCCTTTAAAAGTTAAAATTTCTTGACTGAAACTAGAAGGCATGAGTTGCAATTTCTTGTAGAATTGCATCTTTTTGAACTGGTGCAAAAGGCACCAGTTGATGACTTGGCGTCTTCTGTATTGGGCGCAAAAGGCACTAATGAGCTATATAAATAAATAAAGGGAGAAAATGTTTTGTAAGTCTTTTTTTTTCAAACTTTTTTAGATGATATGTTTAAAAAATTTTTAATTAATATTTTAAAAAACTAATCGTTAGATTAAAAATTTTATTCATATAAATTATACTTATTAATTTTCATATTTTTTAATAGATCTAATCATTTTATTAATTATAA